AGAATGTTACTGACGGGGTCACTAAGATTAGAATGTTACTGACGGGGTCACTAAGATTAGAATGTTACTGACGGGGTCACTAAGATTAGAATGTTACTGACGGGGTCACTAAGATTAGAATGTTACTGACGGGGTCGCTAAGATTAGAATGTTACTGACGGGGTCACAAAGATTAGAATGTTACTGACGGGGTCACTAAGATTAGAATGTTACTGACGGGGTCGCTAAGATTAGAATGTTACTGACGGGGTCACTAAGATTAGAATGTTACTGACGGGGTCACTAAGATTAGAATGTTACTGACGGGGTCACTAAGATTAGAATGTTACTGACGGGGTCACTAAGATTAGAATGTTACTGACGGGGTCACTAAGATTAGAATGTTACTGACGGGGTCACAAAGATTAGAATGTTACTGACGGGGTCATTAAGATTAGAATGTTACTGACGGGGTCACTAAGATTAGAATGTTACTGACAGGGTCACTAAGATTAGAATGTTACTGACGGGGTCACTAAGATTAGAATGTTACTGACGGGGTCATTTGGATCAGAATGTTACTGACGGGGTCACTAAGATTAGAATGTTACTGACGGGGTCACAAAGATTAGAATGTTACTGACGGGGTCACTAAGATTAGAATGTTACTGACGGGGTCGCTAAGATTAGAATGTTACTGACGGGGTCACAAAGATTAGAATGTTACTGACGGGGTCATTTGGATCAGAATGTTACTGACGGGGTCACTAAGATTAGAATGTTACTGACGGGGTCACTAAGATTAGAATGTTACTGACGGGGTCACTAAGATTAGAATGTTACTGACGGGGTCACTAAGATTAGAATGTTACTGACGGGGTCACTAAGATTAGAATGTTACTGACGGGGTCACTAAGATTAGAATGTTACTGACGGGGTCACTAAGATTAGAATGTTACTGACGGGGTCACTAAGATTAGAATGTTACTGACGGGGTCACTAAGATTAGAATGTTACTGACGGGGTCACTAAGATTAGAATGTTACTGACGGGGTCACTAAGATTAGAATGTTACTGACGGGGTCACTAAGATTAGAATGTTACTGACGGGGTCGCTAAGATTAGAATGTTACTGACGGGGTCACTAAGATTAGAATGTTACTGACGGGGTCACTAAGATTAGAATGTTACTGACGGGTTGCTAAGATTAGAATATTACTGACGGGGTCACTAAGATTAGAATGTTACTGACGGGGTCACTAAGATTAGAATGTTACTGACGGGGTCACTAAGATTAGAATGTTACTGACGGGGTCGCTAAGATTAGAATAATTCCTTAAGAGTCTATTGACGCACCCATGTAACATAATACAAAAAATCCCAATCAAAATCTGTGAATTTAAGCTAAAGGCCGAGTCTCAATCCACCACATCCAACTATGTCGGCCTTTCGCATCTGCGGTGGAAAGTGGCCGAGCTACAGCGATGTTTGTCAGACCATGAGACATCTCGAAAAAAACGGAACTCGTCTGAAGGTAACCCGTACAAATTAATGGGAGTATGGAGGTAGTTTTGTGCCAACAAAAATAAGGGGTTAAATATGTGTCCAAAAAATATACATATATATTTCCTGAGCTTTCTGATATCTCTTAAGTATAGGACAGACACTTCAAAACCTTATTCCTTATGATTCTTTATTTGACTGTTTTTTTTTGTGCCATTTTTGAATGTGTTATTCAATGCGTTTCTATGGGCTACAGTAGTAAAGACTTTTAGAGGATAATCAATACAGGTGTAGGTTTGCGTCATAATCCAATGACTATGTCCAAGAGAGGAACAGCCTGGAGGGTGTCGGTGCCGCCAAAACACATCCAATACAGAAAATGATCGGCGTGAACCTGCGGTGCGAATTAATTTGAATCTTGGTACTTCGAAACAATGACACACTACAGACAGAAACAAGCCATTATAATAATGTATAAAAACAGCTGTATCCTAGTTTATTGTGCCATCTGTTGTCCTCCCTGTATGCCCCCTATTCATCATGTCTCTAACAGGGTGCATCTGAAATAGCAACCTATTCCCTATGTAGAACACTACTTTTGACCAGAGCCCTTGTTGCCTAGGGAACAGAGCGTCATTGAAGACATATCCTTCAGTCTAGGCTCCTTCGGTCTCGGTCAGGTGATGCTGGTTCAGGATCAGGGAGAAATGGCCAGGAGGCTTTTGAGGGATTGTGGCAGGCCGGCAGGGAGGCAGGGAGACAAGGAGGTAGGCAGGTAGGCAGGCAGGTAGGCAGCGAGGGAGGAAGACAGGCAGTCAGGCAGGCAGGGAGACAAGGAGGGAGGCAGGCAGTCAGGCAGGCAGGCAGTGAGGGAGGCAGACAGGCAGTCAGGCAGGCAGGGAGACAAGGAGGGAGGCAGGCAGTCAGGCAGGCAGGCAGTGAGGGAGGCAGACAGGCAGTCAGGCAGGCAGGGAGACAAGGAGGGCGGCAGGTAGGGAGACATGGAGGGAGGCAGACAGGCAGGCAGGCAGGCAGCGAGGGAGGCAGACAGGCAGTCAGGCAGGCTGGGAGACAAGGAGGGAGGCAGTCAGGCAGGTATGCAGGCAGGCAGGCAGGCAGGCAGGCAGGCAGGCAGGCAGGTAGGTAGGCAGTCAGGCAGTCAGGCAGGGAGGCAGGCAGGGAGGCAGGGAGGCAGGGAGGCAAACACACTTAAAGTGTCTTGAGTGCCCTATATGATGATGGCACTTCTCTTCTTCTCTTTATAGCTTGTTTTTTGTTTCCCTGCTCCCAAGGGCATTGTGCTTCAGTAGCTTATCATAGGGATAGCTGGCCATAAAGCTATGTACCCCCACTCCACACACACACACACACACACACAGAGAGAGAGAGAGACAGACACAGTTACACACACATACTGGCCATCTCTAGTTTAGACCTCAGGTCGAGGCTTTGTTGGGCCTAATGTGATTCTGCAGAGTGGGCTGTTGCTGAATGGTTAGGGGTCCTTGCCAATCCTATTCACTGATCTGTTGTTCTGTGTTCGAATAAAAATGAACTTTGGAGGTGAAGTTGAATTTGTGTCGGAAGTTTTTTGAGTAATATAAATTGTAATGAGTATTATTCAATCCAGCCCAGCCTTCAGTCGTATTCAACGGATTGAGTTACTCTGCTGTTGAATGTATAATCGGTTCAAAAAGGTGATTACAAATATGAAAGGCCAACTACAGTCACCGGATGGGAAAGGCGCGCGCAACTCTCTCCCCCCCCGGTCCCCGTTACAAAACCCTTTACACCTACGGAATAGCCTAGGCCTGCTAAGCAACCAGGGCCCAAGGTCAGAATTATATCCATGAGAAGCCTTCAGTATAGCTTTAAAATGCATGTGGGGCCCGTCATTGTACAGTCACTTGCTCATAATCGTTCTTCTAAAGCAGCGACATGGATGAATTAATGTATCAGGGTGTGGATTGGGTAGGTTGCCGTTGTGCGTAATGCTGCAAGGCATATCGAGAGGTTGGGACTATAAGGTTCTATCTTTATGTAGTTATTGACATAGCCTTGTTCTGTTCAATGCTCTCTACCTAAATAGTACTCTAAATACCCCCCAATTCATGTCCTTAAGAATACAGAGATAAAAAAAAAATTGCTGACACCATCCAAACCAATGAGGGTTCAGAAGTTTAAAGGCAATTATCTCATAATCGTCTATTTGCAGATAGAATTTTGTAGTCCAAAGCTCTCGATATGTCAAGTCAGAGCAAGCCTATACAAGCCTGCAGAATTATATAGCAAACAACTCTCCACTATAGTGATTATGATAGCCTATAGCTTGCATTTCGTCTGTTTTATAATGCAATTTAACCTACTTCATCCAAGCAAAGCGCCAACACAGAAGTATCTTATATGGGACGTTGTTACTGATGCCAGAACGGGTTTTAACATGTCTGTTTTTATACCTATAGATAAAATGTTGTTTTTAATGCAATTAATACATTCCATCTAAACCGAGTCTTCTTTTAATCACAGTGATAGCTATATACAATTTCATTTTAATCGAGTTCCATATGAAATCACTAGGCCTAAAGGAGATGTAAAATAATGGGATGAATGCAAGGCGAGGACCAAGAGGCGCAGACTTTGTCTGCCGTCGTATGGCTTACATTAAAGTCCATGTTTATTAGGTGAAATAATCCTGGAGATATATTTCTACATATGGCGTTGTTTCACATAATAATATTTAAGAAAGGGACAGGACACATACAATTTGTATAGATAATTCAGAAAACACTGTACAATATTTTTTTCCCTTTTTTACTTCAGTATAGAAGGTTACACAAAAAAAGTGGCAAGTCTTTCGACCATAAATAATACATAATTTTGTTGTACAGGAATAAACGAAAAAAAAAAAACCGCTAACGGTCGTTATAACTTAATACTATACACATCTTTGGGAAAGAAAAAAAATATTATTGGACGGACACAAACTCACACCATAGTCCCACGAAGCTTGTGGCATAATAGAGGTATACCTTGTTGCAATGCTTTAGTAGACCTACTTGGGCTTTACCAAGGAGATAATAACAAAACAATGGAAAAGCAGTATTTGCAATCCACTCCAAACATCGTCATATCAGCGGGCGAATCTCAGGTCAAGCTTCTTTTTTATTTTATTATAGAAACAGAATCGGCAGACAGTCATTTCTTTGTATATTCAAACATCACGCACAACAGTGCGCAACCGTAGCCTAGATTTCAGATGTAATCTTCAATAATTAAGTTTATATTTTTCCTAGAGGTCCATGGGTCCAGGGTTTTTTTTTTGTCGAAGTGTATGTATGGTGTTTTCTTTTTTCTTTTTTGGCAAAACTGTAAACAGGCATTTCCTACCGGCAGCACCAGTCATGGATGATGTAGGGAAATCTATACATCTCGTTACGCATGAGTCGCATGATTCTCAGACACCTTATGTTGCAGACAGTGGAGCGCTCCACCGGCTCCTTACAACACGCTTCTCCTTCTAGTCTACACCACGGTCATCTCTCCCCTCTCCTCTTCTCCAGGGTTGTTTTTGCGGCGAGTGGACAGATGGACGTATGACGGACGCTTGGACAGATCTAGGTAGGGTAATAATCCCATGATTGTCTTCACAGTGTAAAACTACAACCGGGGGAGGGGGGGGGGGGGGGGGGGGGGGGGGGGGGGGGGGTGTTGTTTCGTAGTTAAAGAGGCTTCGTGCAGTTGGAGGATTCTCTTTTATCTCTCAGTTCGAATGAAATCAACAAGAGAGGTGACATATTGTTTCTTTCAAACCCGAGTCAAGTTTTTTCGGTTTTCAGTCAGTCCGGCTTTGTCCAACTAACATCCACTCGTCATCAGTCGGAAATATGACATAGTCTGACGTAGTTTACAGTCGGTCGGCGAGGCCCTACGACTCTATAGGGCTCGAGACCATGCTGTTGGGTGTGTCCGGAAGTTGGGATGACATCGAGGCAACTTCGCTCCCTGTTGAGTTGGAACCAGGGCCTCCCTCCGAGAAATTGACCTGAACAAAGCAACAGAACAATGTTAGGCTGACTATCATTATTCACATGTCAAGACATTAGGTCAATATATATTATGTCAATAATATATTTTAGACAAAACACTTCATATTAAATGTATAGTGTCTGTCTTGGATATGACAGTGACATCTCAACAAATACATCACATTATTGACACACGTCAAGATATCAGGTCAATATATAATTTCAATTGTATATTTTAGACAATGCAATAAAATTAAATGTCAAATGTCTGCCCTCCATATGACAGTTGCATTTCTACCCCATTACGTCACATATCAATAGCCTAATTATATCAAATAATAACTAACATAACATTAAACATTAAAAACAATAAAATGACAATCTAACCGTTACTTGTTATTTCGTTTACACTGTCTCCCAGACAGACAGTTTAGTGTTATAAAACAGCTTACGGTCTCTCCCCATATATATATATATTTATATATGAACTCACCAGTTGTTGAAACGCGGGCTGGTCGATCTCACTCTGTAACGCGAAGTCACTGAGGACCTTCCAAGGCGGCTGGTAACTCTGCACCTCCACTGGGTTAGCCTGCAAACCACCGTCGTGTCTCTCCGGGCTGGCCGCCACCATCGGAGTGCCCGTCATTCCCTGGATATTCTGCAGATAGTCCCAGAGAAACTGCTCGTCATATAAAGTTCAAAAATTAGCACGTCAACATTGACCCAACAACAACAACAAAAAACACAACATTAGGTATTTAGAATAGGATGGAGATGCTTGGTGCGTAAGGGGCATGCTGGATATTTGAGGTGTGTGTGTGTGTGTGTGTGTGTGTGTTTGTGTGTGTGTGTGTGTGTGTGTGTGTGTGTGTGTGTGCGTGCGCGTGTGTGTGTGCGCGCGCGCGTGTGTGTGTGTGTGGCTGGGTGTCCTAAATAAAAAGGGCACGTATGCGTCTGCGTGTGGATATATATTACGCATTCACAAGCAGACGCATAGGATCAGGTCCCTGTTTTTATTTCACCCCAGTTCCTTCATGACATCAAATGACCAGACAAGAACAGGAGTATTCTAATGAAACAGTTACAACAGCTACCAGCATTTTGACCGATAAGAACACCACTGTATTGAATCCTTTATTTAATAAAGACCAGACAGGGTTCTCACCGTTTTGTCGTTCGGCTGCTGCTGCTGTAACTGTTTCATCAGAATACTCCTCTTCTTGTCCTTGCAGCGCTTGTTTTGGAACCAGACCCGGATGACTCGGGGACTGAGGCCGGTCATTTCGACTAGTTGCTCCTTCATCAGTGCGTCGGGCCTGGGGTTGGCGTTGTAGCAGGTCCGCAACGTGTGGAGCTGCTTTTCGTTAAGGACCGTCCGGACTCGAGTGGTCTTTTCCGGTTGTTTGTGGACGTGCGGTCGGAGCGCGGGCTGTCTGGCTGATATTGGGTCTGCTGTTGAGAAAGAGAAGAGTACAGACAAAGAAATCATTATCTATCGGCACTTCAACACCGTGGCTGTATAAAAAGACATTGTGTTGGGATGCAAAAGTTGAGAATACAAAAACAATATACACTTTGAAAACTACACCAGCACAATAACCCACGGTAGCCTATAGGCCTTATAATGATTTACCGAAACGACCGAGCAGTGCCGCTTAGTATGGAGTATACATTCAGCCTGTTGTTATCCGGGCCTTATGGAAATATTGTATTACTTCAACTATCAACCAATCCCATTCCGGACTAATCAATTTCACTTCCGTTTTTCAGTTCGTCCAAACTTTGATTAGACCTACATTTTTCACTGAATCCACCGAGAATTTGATCACGTCTCAACAACAAATCAACAACAAAGAAAGAGCAAAGCCCATGTTTTATAACAGCTATAGGCCTGGGTAACAAGAGATACCACTGGATTTCAAAATGAACGTCCAACATCATCACCTTATCATGCGTGGATGGGCTGTATGTTGGTATACTTTGATATTAGCTTGTGTGTGATTATGTCATTTATAAAACGGTATAACTTTAAAGTAAAATGGTTATAACTTTCAGTGAAAGTGCATTCGTGTCAGTTTTAACATATAGTGTAAATTACTTGTATTGGAAAAACGGTGGTCAGCATTTGCGGTCTTAACGTGGACCAGGGCGCAGGCAACGGCGTGAGAATGGACCGTCAAATAGCCTACGTTTCTTACTACATTGGTGCAGACTTTATGATTGGATAATTCCTTATGAACGAAGTGTTGTCAAAGTATAGCTGTGGCTATCTGCCGAGCTTGGGTTATGTAGTCTGTTTAAGGTCAGCACTAGCTGCGAGTTCGGTTACACATAGGCCTATATGTACGCACCCTGAGGAAATAGTATATTCGACCATTCTGAATGCGTGGCAAACTGGCTTGCATAACTCCCCCCAAAAGCCACATAAAACAATGATATCAGTATTGTGGCATAAAGCACACATGTAGGTTACATTTATCCAGGCCATAGCCACCCCACCCCCACCCCACCCCCACCCCCAAGCTTCAGTACGAACAATCCGTATAATACCATCTACATCTAACTAGCTCAAACATTGGATTTTAATTCCTAGGCTCTCCCATCATTCAACCATGAAAAGACTTTGCCACAGATATCCCAGATATCATTCCTTGCCAGGGACGTTGACAAGAAGCGCATCTATGCAAATGTATTTAATCACTGCACAAACCGATAATGTGGTTCGCGAAAACAACTGCAACGACTAGTATTCCAACTAGTTGGAGGAAAAAAAAAAATAGGCTACATTATCGGTTTATATTTATGACATGTAAACAAATATATCAGCAAATATATTTGCATATAATATTCAATTTATTCCACGATGCCTGTAAGTGTTAGAAATGTATATTGAAACTCAGGCCAGTACTGTAGAGATGTATGGCTACACGGAAAAACTGCTCATCATCACAACATTCTCCAATAAAATACGTTTTGGGTTTCGTGCTTCTATTTGTTCGTTGTAGCCTGTTGCATTATGGGACATGACAAAGCTTAGCCTATCGAAACATTTGAGTATATGATGCTATACATTCGTCTTTGTCTTTTATGTGTTTAATATGAATACCCTTTCACAAATAAATCTAAATAATTTCCATCCATGAAAGAAAGAAAATAAATACAACATCAACCGAATGGCCAACACCTACACCAGCCAACAAGCCCACAAAAAATAAACCAAAAACAGCACTGCCATTGATATAAAGTGTTAACCTACCTGCCATTTGTAAAGGTCGGGCCGGGTGGAGGGGGCTGAGGGGGTCTCCGGCGCCCATTGTGGCCCGCTCCACGACGTCATGGTCGGCCCGGCAGAACAAGCCGTCCTCCCTGAGAGCGAACTCGTCCCCCGGGATGAGCTGTCGGCTGCAGGCCACACACCGAAAACACTCGATATGGTACACCTTGGAGCGCGCTCTCATCACGAAGTCATTCTTGCTGAAACCGATGTTGCATTTAGCGCACTTTATCCCGTATAACCTGGAGGGTAAAGAGAGATTGGGTGACCGGTCAGAGTCGGCTAACGGTGTCACAAGGCCCACGGCCCACTGTTAGGCGTTACTGTGGCTGGGCAGCGCGCATAATAGGACAAACACAGGGACATCTTTTTAAAGCAGGATTGTTAGGCTTTAATATTGAGGCGTGTTCACATCACACGAGATTACTTGAAACCTGTTTAAAATGTTACATTCATAAAGACAAAGCACAGACCTGTTCTGTGGTAACAGAGGAGAATGGAACACATATCATGAGCATATAGATATAGGGCTATTATATCTTGAAATATTCTTAGAATACTCATAGTAACATTATTATTATTATTATTATTATTATTATTATTATTATTATTATTATTATTATTATTATTATTACAGGCGATAACGATACAAATTGTCGAATATATTAATTAAATTGTAGTCTATATGTAGGCCTAATATATTTGGCCAATTTGAGGGATAACAGATTATTTCAATTATAGGCCAATGTAAATAATATCGCCCTAGACTTCACTAAAGGCCATCAATGCAGTAAAATATTGCAGTACATTAAAACATTTGTTTCTATAAAATAGTTTGTACTGAATATGTAAAACCTGTTGTAAAGTAACTCGACAGTAAAGTCCACCTAACCATGTGAGTCCTGATGTGGGTTTCGACAATATTATTACTAGCCTGTTATTATACTGACAAGATAATAACAACTTAATTGCAATTATGCTGATTTGGTGGTGATAAAAATCATCAATATTAACACTGTGTGGTCTGAAAATCCAATATAAAACGGTATTTTTGATAGAATATCTAAATGTTACTTTCCAATACAGCTGTCCAAACTATCAGTTATTATAGTCACTCTAAAATAAATGTTGATGTCCGCTGTATAACCATGTTATTACACGATAGCCAGTTAATACGTGAATGTGTCAATCAATCAATAAGAAACAATGTTATCAACGCTATTAAATTTCATAACAAACAGCTCTTACCTGACATAGTCCCTTTTACAGTAGGTTTTCCCGTCTCGGACAAAGCAGGTACACGATTCATCCAGATACTGATTACACTCTGCACACTTCAAACAGGCAGCGTGCCACTCGAGGTCTGGAGAGACCCGCAGAATATACTGGTCATGGATCTGCTGTCCACAGCCGACACACAGCGAGATCAGCCGCTTTTCTGGAGAACAAAGTCAGAAGAAAAATAGTATAATATATATTAGGACAATTCTAAAGATTATATTGAGTATAAAGAATGTCACATAATGTTGAGGTCTGTGTGTGTGTGTGTGTGTGTGTGGAGGGGGGGGGGGGGGGGGGGGGGGGGGGGGGGGGGGGGGGGGGGGGTACTATAATGTTGACTATAATGTCAACAATAACCATAGTAATAAAAATCATAATCATAATAATCCTTTAGTTATTTGTTATAATTTACTATAAATAATATACATTCGTTATTAACAATAATAACATTATTTGTGAATGTGCTATAGTTTAATGTACACTGCTATTCAATGATCCAAAGTAACTTTACTGACATTGAAAGACTGTGTCCTCTGGACAGGTATTGTAAAGCAAATTCCGTGGAAACGTGTCATTGAATGGGACCTGCTACCACAATAAACCGTTGGCAAACCTCAAAGAAAACAAATTGACCTACGAATTAGTCTAATGTCGCCGAAGTTTTGCATCACTCAAAATAGAATAGAATAGACGAACCAGCTTCACTTACTTTTCTGCGGATCCCCCATATCGCCCATGTCCAAGAAGTAAGGAGGCGTTAGGTCCACTTTTAAAACGTGGTGCAACAGTTTGAAGCCGGGGTTTTTCCTTTTCCTCCAGACTGCGGTAATAGAGTAGTTGCCTGTGTGCTGTGCCGGTGCTGTCTGAGAGGTGGCCGGGTGTTGCAGGACTTGTTTGGCCGCGGAGGAGCTGTTTTAGTCGGTGGGGAGGGTGGGGGGTGTGAGTGTCTGTGCTGCGGTGCCTTGTCCCTGTGCTGTGATGGGGCACGCTAGTCCCTATCTCCCACACAAACTCCCTTGCATCAACTCTACTCTATCGCCACTGGGCTGACGTAGGACACTTTAACGTCATCTTTATGGGATGCTGATTGGTTATGAAGACAGGAGCAGCTGTTAATGTTAGCCCAGTCTAAGTACCCGCCCACCCGGCTCATATTATGGACCACTGAAGCAAGGCTTTTTTTTTTTTTTTTTTACAACTTTGTCATTGATATTATGAAATCATTAATGTGTTTACTCATTAAATTATGAATTTGAATATTGGAGTCAAGAAACGCAATTCAACACAGCAATAGGCTACGACTTTTTGGAGGGCGGGATATACATGCAGTGTCTTGAGTAGCTAAATATATATCTTTAAATAGGCCTGTAAGAATTTACATTATTTCTCTTGGAGAGGTAAAATGAGGTAAAATGCAAGGTAAAACGTCAGTTATATCTGATGAACCATAATGCCAAATACAATTAGAATGGAACAGAACAGAATAGAATGCGTTGCAGTTTGTGGTCATCTACTGCACGCCTAAGGGCTACTTCTAAATTTTTAATTGTAATTTTTGTTTGTTAAAAAGGAACCGAATTACTCACATTATGAACCAATATTGAAATGGTATAACCCAAAAACAGCTACGAATGGTTTTCATACAGTTGGTTTGGGGAATAAATAGCTGCTAGTGTTTTCTTAAAAATTTTTTACAGGCATGGTCATAATGTTACAGTGTGTCATCAGTCTGCAGGGTTGTCAACCCAACCGTCATTAACATATATAATTACACATAATGATACCCCTAAACCAGTCGAGACACGGGCTGGAATACAAACTCACATTGTGGGGCATCAGATAATAACCCGGTAGAGAAAGAGACAACATGGGACGGGTTGGCATGATGCGGCTCTCTCAGTAGGTACATGTTATTTCAGGCTGGGCATTTTTTAAGAGGATGGTTTTATTTTATTTTGACTAATGTGTTGACAAAATCTGTGTTGCTATTATAACCGATTTATAGGCAAACAATAAATAGTTCAAATAAGTCTACTAAACGTTCCTCAAGATTGAATCTACTGCAAATCGGGAAGACATGGTGTATTTCTGTATATGGACTGGACTACACATCTCTGACCCAACAACCTTTGGTCGATGTCTGAATAGCTTGCCAGCAGCAGAAAGAGTTTAGGAACCAACGGGGCATATTAGACCCAAACACGCCCTCTTGTGTTAGCAGGATGGTCCTATTCAGTAACCCTTTCTCTCCACACACAGAGACATAGAGACAACCCTTTAACTCTACACACAGAGACATAGACATCATCATGTAGAATGGTGGTGTCCTATACTGAACAGGCTTTCATTCACAGGCAGGTGTAATTTTAGTAACACAAGATCGTGATACAAGACCGTCAGAAATAATTTATATGGTAGACAGTGGAGTATAATTGCATTACTTTTCCTCTGAAAAGCTTTTTTTCTGGAGAGTATAGCATTAAAAACCTGGATTCATTCTGGAGAACATTCAATAGTGTGTTTGAGTGTCAGGTAGAAGGGGATGGATTGAGAGAAACGTGATGGAGAGAGAGGGAGAGAGAGAGAGAGAGAGAGAGAGAGAGGAGAGAGAGAGAAGAGAGAGAGAGAGAGAGAGAGAGAGAGAGCAGACCAAGAGAGAGAGAGAGCATACTAGATCAGAGCATCCAGATCTGGGCGAGAAGGGTATCGGAGAAGAGAAGACTCGCCTCTTCTACTCTATCAGCGCATCTCCGCGCTCCTCTCCCGTCCCTCCGCCGCTCTCTCTCTAGCTGCGCCCTCTCCCAGTTCTCTTCTCCAGCTCTGCTCGCTCTCTCCTCCTAGATATCGAGAGATAGAGGAGCGCTAGCGAGATAGTATTGAACCAACCCATTAGGAGAAAACCCCCAATAGCACAATCTATATACAGAATCCTGCAAAATTATCCTAAATATCCAAAAGAAAGTACCAAATAATGCAGAGCAGAACTCGGAAGAGTCCCTTTAATTGTTAATATAATGGAAAGGACAGTAACATTTTGGCAGCCAAAACATCCTTACAATTCAACGCACTGGAAACCCAAGAGCTGAACCATTATAGTCCCCTATGTTAATTGTTAAAAACACTAAACAACCCTATTATCCAAACCCACAGGGAAATCAATCAGATTGTTACAAAAATGTTAACCTCATGTTTGACAAATTAGTAAAATGAAACAAAAACACAGAATAAACGAAATTGCTATTTGGCCCTCAAAAGAGAATACAAATTGGCAGAATATCTCTACTCCGTCAGAGATACAAAACAGAGACAGATCCTGACCAAATACAGGCTCAGCGACCACCAATTGGCTATAGAGAAAGGGGGTCATAAAAAAAAATGGCTACCCAAAGAGGTGTTTATGTGATCACTGCAGGACAGGGGAGGTAGAGAAAGAGATGCACGTTTTCATCTGCTGCGAGAAGAACTCTCAAATAAGATAATATTTTTTCAAGAAAATATCTCAATCATTCCCAATTTCTGTGCATTTACTAATGACATAAAGCTGGGAATTATTCTGGGTGAGGGAGAAACTGCAAATATTACTGCCAGATATGTACATGATTGCCATAGCCTGAGGGACATCCCATGATCATTAAAGTATTGACATTGTATATAACTGACAGTAATACATAGTGGAACCATCATCATGTTGTTGTTTATTTATTAGACATTCTTTCTTTGTCTTTTTAAAATCTAATTTTTATTTAATTAAATGTATCGACCAAAGATTCCACAATACAACAGCAGTAGTGTTGTACCTGTATACATGATTATATGTACTATTATTATTATTATTATTATTATTATTATTATTATTACTACTGAAATTAACTGTATTTCATTATCTGAAATTACTGAAATGCTGTACCACTATACTATTTTGGCAATATCTACAAATTGTATTCCACGGCAATAAAGCAATCTGAATCTGAATCTGAGAGAGAGAGCGACAGAGAGCGACAGAGAGAGAGAGAGAGAGAGAGAGAGACAGAGAGAGAGACAGAGAGAAAGAGAGAGAGAGAGAGAGAGACAGAGAGAAAGAGAGAGAGAGAGGGGGGCAGAGAGAGAGACATGGAGAGCGAGAGAGCGAGAGAGAGAAGTGGGGAGAAAGAGAGCGAGAGAGAGAGAGAGGGAGAGAGAGAGAGAGAGAGGAGGTGGGACCTATGAAAAGGGGAAATATCTCTTTGTGGTCACTCTTCTTTTCAGGAGCACCGTGGATGCTCTAACAAATAATTATAGGTATTACCTGTTCCAGACTGCACTGTTAAATTGAGGAATGATTAGCCTACATATTTAGGGCTTGACTAAATTACAGTCTAACTAATACTTTCTCAACAATTTAATCAAATCTGCTGATAATTCAATTGTAACAACAGCACAGCTATGGTTCTTGAAGTTCATAATAATGTAATAGTTCTAATTAAATCGTAATACAATAATATAGTAAAAATTTCTTCTTCTTTCTTCTTCCTTATTTTTGTTCTTCGATCTTCGTCTTCTTCTCTTCTTCTTCTCTTTTCTTCTTCTCCTTTCTTCTTCTTCTTCTTCTTCTTCTTCTTCTCCTCTTCTTCTCTCTTCTTCTTCTTCTCCTCTTCTTCTTCTTCTTCTTCTTCTTCTTCTTCTTCTTCTTCTTCTTCTCTTTAATAATAGTAATAACAATACAACAATTTATGATAATTATACTTTTGAATAATCAGAATCATAATTAACCCCTTTTTGATGATTCCATGTGTAAAAAACATTTAAACCTGTATTGTTAGCGACGGGAAAAACATGTTACATGGTTTGTGGATGGGTCGTATGTTTTGTGCTTGGGTTGTGTGAATTTTTGGTGTTGTGTTGGTGTGACAGGTGTGTTGTGGGTGTGTGTGTGACATGGTTTTGGTGTTTGTGTGGTGGTGTGTGTGGGGGTTTGTGTTTGTGTTGATTGTGTGTGGTTTACATTGTGGTTACAGGTATACACAATGTTTATTCATAACCTAGACATTAGAGTTACCCCAGGAAAAGTTCATTAGTGATTTTATCTCTATTCAATGTATTGACTACATGTTTTTGAAGACATAACTAAAATTCTGTTCCCTAGATGGATCCAATAACGTGATTATTATGTATACTTGAAATGGACAAATATAGTAAAGTACAAATTAGAAGTCTTTTTGAGTTGGAAATAGTAGTCTCTTTTGTTGAGTTACCTTTTTGTTTTAAATCGTTATTTAAATGATAGGATTACAATAAAATAAGACAATTATATTGAATCAATATATGAGTTAAAATTTATAGTGAGTTACATATAGTGAGTTACAATATAGTGAGTTACAATATAGTGAGTTACAATATAGTGAGTTACAATATGTGATTAAAATTATAGTGATTTACAAATAGTGAGTTAAAATTATAGTGAGTTACAATTAGTGAGTTACAATTAGTGAGTTACAATATAGTGAGTTACAAATATGAGTTACAATATAGTGAGTCACAATATAGGTGAGTTACAATATAGTATTTACAATATATGAGTTAAAATTATAGTGAGTTACATATAGTGAGTTACATATAGTGAGTTACAATATAGTGAGTCACAATATATGAGTTACAAAAGTGAGTTACATTATAGTGAGTTACAATATAGTGATTTTACAATATAGTGAGTTACAATATAGTGAGTTAAAATATAGTGATTTACATATAGTGATTTACATTATAGTGAGTTAAAATATGTGAGTTACAATATAGTGAGTTAAAATATAGTGAGTTACAATATAGTGATTTACAATATAGTGAGTTACATATAGTGAGTTACATTATAGTGAGTTACATATAGTGATTACAATATAGTGAGTTACATTATAGTGAG